GGTCAATCGTTTGGTAGTTTCATTTTTAAGATAAACAATTTGCAAGCGTCTTTATTTAAAATAGTATTTTTCTTTTATGTAACATAGACAGGTTCTCCTGCAATTACTCTATCCACTCGCTTTTCAGTACGCTGAAAGATTATCGACCCATTTTCCAAATCCTAACCAAATTGCTTTTATTCGAATTTCTTCATCGTTTATTATTATTATTACTATTATTATTATTATTATTATTATTATTATAACTAGCATATAACCCGTAAATGTAATAGAACTATTTACGTATGAATCGGCACTTCTATTTATGGTTAAAGAGTAGTATCTGTTTTCGGGTCGATAAACTGCATTTTATTTCTTAATTATTTTTCTGTCTTCGGATAGAACACAGCAAATAAATGAGAGATGACTTGTCACTGGAGATTCTAAACCTGCAGCAGCACCCTCCTCATTCCTCCAGAGCGGTGGGGTCAATCGAATATCAACGCCAGCGCCACCTTATATGCCGGGACCCGGCAATTTTGGGGCTTGGCCCATGTGCACGAGTTTTCGGCCATGGACGATCATGACTTCCCACAACGTTTTTTTTTTTTACTATTCTTTCCACCGATCTGTCTATATTTCTGAGATGAGGTATTATGTAAAGTTTCGGCCGTTGTACGCTCTGGTCTTCTTCAGGTGGTTGGAATGTTGACCTGGACCCTTTATTTCGCTCACTGGAGTAGACTGTTCTAGTTCCACGTGCCATGTCTAATGGATGTCAGTTATCAGTTATCTCGGCCGAAATGTTGTAATAAATATAGCAACAAAGATGAGGACAATAGTCCGAATAATGTAAATAGTGTATCAGAAATGGCATCATGAAAATTTCCACTGAATAATTAAAAAACAAAAAAGAAAAACAAAACACATATTTTACATAGATAAAGCCGTTCGTAAGGTGTAAGTTGTACTCGTGAGAACAATCTTTTATATTTTTTTAAGGCATGGGCTACCAGGAATCCCTTCAATGAGTCTATTGGAATCTTTTCCAACCAATCCGAGGGCTCCAAATATAACAGATTATTATTATTATTATTATTATTATTATTATTATTATTTCCTTTTGATTTCTGTTGTGTACACATTTTCTTCCCTCTGTCCTCATTACGTGTACCAGGAATTTCAACTGTTTTTTTCTAATCTTAAACACAAGTATCCTTTTCGTTGCCACTTTCTTTAACACTTGAACACTCCATAGATTTTTGCATTTTGTTGGTTTTTCACTCCAAGCAAGGAGTGAAAAACCAACAAATCCACTATTACACAAGGAGTTTTTAAGAGTGAGAGAATATGAGAAAAAGAAAACGTGCTAAGGAGAAAGAAAGAGAAAAATAAAAAGAAAACAGAAATTAAGAAGGTCAAATTTTGAAGGTCAAAGAGAGGCCGGAAGAAAATTCCACAAGCGAAAAGTGCGAGAGAAGAAACTGTTAACATAGAAGTTACGGTTACCTAGCCATTTCAACTGTAAAATGATGAAACCTAACTACCAATTTAGTACTGCATTTAAAATCGTAAAGTCGTGGTACCAATGTAGAAAGCTCATAACCATGAAAATATTTATTGAAAAGGCAGAGGGAAGCCATGTTACAACGGTGAGAAATGATTGAAGTTGTACGTATCATTTTGTAGAACCACATTTCTGTTGCTTCAAGAGTTATCTTCCCCTGTGTGGAAATTGTCCTGCATTCACTGCTATATAGGAGACTTGATATTACATAGCAGTTCAACGTTTCTAATAAATTTTCCTGTTTCTTTATACTTTGTTTAGTTTTTGGAAGGCATCTTTCGCTATTTCTATGCACTTTCTATTTTCTGTGTCGCATTTTTCATTGTAAATTGTCGATCAAATGAACTACAGTAGAAATATTAGCAATTTGTCTCAGAGTCGCGATATTATGAAATTCACGAGCGACTGAGTAGGAAAGTATGTAATTTCATCAATAGATACCTCAGGCGTAGCGTAATGGTTAACAAGTTTGTCTCACTAAATCATTTATGACGTAGTGAGTTCAATCCTCACTTGGTGCCTCATACTTTCGGCCTTGTGACATAACTAAGCTACCCTTAGTAAATCGATGGGCTCTTCGACGTAGTGTAATTGTTAACAAGCTTATCTCGCTAGACCAATTAAGACTGATTAGTGAGTTCGATTTCCACTGGATTTTTCGGCCTTGTGCCACATCTAAGCTTCATTAGAAAACCACCATCAGCAGATACTTCAATTCAAACGAAGGGCCCCAGGGTTGCTGGCACCCCAGATACGCTGAACTTAGGTGCCTTTACAAGTATATATTTTTAATTTTCACAAGTAGAAAAACTGAAAAGCTAGAATTTCTTTATATATATATATATATATATATATATATATATATATATATATATATATATATATATATACCGTGTCGTTTCAGGAAGTAGGCGATCATGGTTCTCCACTTCCCCCAAACCTTGTAACTCTGAATAAGTTTTGTCCCTTTGCTACTTCCCCAGGCCATGTTCTGTCATCCACTTGCTTAAGTTCGCTAGGTATGTCATGTGTTGCTTTCCTTTGTCTTTCTTTCCCTTTATTCGACCTATGAGTATCAGATTCTTCAAGCCGTCCTTTCTTGTTAAGTGTCCCAGAAATTTCAGCTGCATCTTCCTGATGTTAAGTATAATCTTCTTCCTTGTTTGTATCCTCTCCAAAACCTGATCGCTGCTCAAACGCTCGTTCTATGATAAGGATATCATTGCCTCGAGTTTTTTCTTCATCTTTGAGGAGACTGTCCAACATTCGCTGCCGTAAATGAGGACAGATGTTACGTAGCAGTTTAGTACTATTTTCTTTGTTACCAAAGAAATCATCCTGTCTCGTAATACTCTGCCTAGCTTTTGGAATGCGTCTTATTACAATATGCAACTTAATACAAACTAAATAATGCATCCATTATCCCGCCTAAAACATTTTTCTAGCTTTTTGATCTGCAAATCTTTTCATAGCATTTTCTATACCTATGTTCTTTTCAAAATCATTTTCTATTGACAAAATCGATCTAAAGAATTTAATCTGTTTTGAGTCATGGACGACCGCAAATATGTTTTTATAAGCTTTAATTTTGGAAGACCCCCAAACACATAACATGGCAGCATAATGGCGCCCTCGGTCTTGATGACGCCCCGAGCGAATACCCGAGTTACCAGTATCTTGAGCAGGTTCCGTGTGTCAACCTCATTATGAAAAATGGGTTTATTTTACCAAACAATATCTGTCTATAATTCTGAGATGAGTTGTTATGTACACTATTTACATTATTCGGACTATTGCCCTCATCTTTGTCGCCATATTTATTAGAACGTTTCGGCCGTTGGACGCTCCGGCCTTCTTCAGTTGGTTGGAATGTCGAACTGAACCCTTTATCTCGTGACACATGGCAGAGTGGATAAAGGCGTTGGTTATATAAATATGGCGACAACGCAGAAGATAATAGTCCGAATAATGTAAATAGTTTACCAAACAAATGTTTATTTTCCTTGTCAATGCACTTAATTCACATGCCTCGAACATAGAGGATTGATTCAGCGTTCTTTTCTGTTTATATCTCTAAAATGAGGTATTATGATTACATGCATTATTTACATTATTCGCACAGTTATCCTCATATTCATTGCCATATTCCTCCAGGGTACATGGCCCAGTGGACAAAGTCGTTGGTTTACATCCAGTAACTAGACCAAAAGAGTTGTGAGTTCAATACCCGGCCACAGCAGTGGTGAACAAAAACTTGGAGAGTTGAGTTAAATAACTGAGACATCTGGAAGAGGCATGACACGTGGAACTAGAACAATCTGCTCCGTTGGACGAAATAAAGGGTCCAGTTCGAAATTCATATCATCTGAAAGAGACCGGAGCGTACAACGGCTGAAACGTTGTGAATATGGCAATGAAGATGAGGATAACAGTCAGAATAATGTAAATAATGCAAGTTTTCTTCTTTGTTTCCAATGAACTTTTAGCAGTTTTTTTTTATTCGTTTTTTAGCTTTTAGAAGGCATCTTTCGCTATTCCAATCGGCCTTTTTCGTAATGTAACTGGGTTTGAGACCACGCCAAAGCAGTTTCTTAGTTTCAATTTTTCGTTAATTAGTTTGAAGACTGACAATAAATCGATCTAAAAAAAAAAAAAAAAAAAGAACTCGGAAGAATAAAAATGTTTTATTTTAGAATCTCAGGCATTCGCTTCTGTTTCTAGATTGTCAACAAATAATCGAATCAGAACAGAAAGATTGAAAAACCAGAAGAGATCAATGTGGTTTCGACGTTTCTAAAATACAGAAAACTCCCGGGATTGCAGCCATTTAAATGCCGCAGATTCATTCCCCTAAATCTTATTTCCCCTAAAAATGTTGTCTTTGTTTAGAAATCCCATTAAGTTGAAAGACTGAAAATAAATCGCAGAAAAGCGTTTTAAAATAATTGGCTCATTATTTTTCCTACCCGGCAAACTGTTATTTATGGTGCATTTCATTAGAGAAATTTGGTGGAAGGTGGAGGAGTAAATCGGCCGAAATTGATCGATTTCGTTTTCTATGTCGTATCAACCATTTGCAGGTTATTTAAAACCAGAAAATATTTTCACATTGTAAGATTTTTTTGAGACATGAGATAATAATGCTTCAGCAATACAAGTTCTACTAATGCGGGGGGGAGAAGTAGATTCATGCCTTTCCCAGGGATTTTGTACGTAAGTGGATATCATGAATGCAACTGGAATTGGAACTCGACTCTCCGATTAACAATTCCGAACCATTATCCATAACCCCCACCCCGCACATCCAAGCTTACAGCACTTGGTATTCCCAAGCGATTACCCGTCTAGGTCCTGACCAGGCTCGACGTTGCTTAACTTTGGTGATTGTACGAGAACTCGACTCTCTGATTAGCAGTTCCGAGCCATTATCTATTAGACAAGCCACACATCCAAGCTTACAGCACCTGGTATTCCCAAACGGTTGCCCATCTAGGTACTGACCAGGCTTGACCTTGCTTAACTTTGGTGATCGTACAGGAACTCGACTCTCTGATTAACAATTCCGAGCCATTATCCATTACACCACCCGCACATCCAAGCTTACAGCACCTGGTATTCCAAAACGGTTGCCCATCTAGGTACTGACCAGGCTTGACCTTGCTTAACTTTGGTGATCGTACAGGAACCCGACTCTCTGATTAACAATTCCGAGCCATTATCCATTACACCACCCGCACATCCAAGCTTACAGCACCTGGTATTCCCAAGCTGTTGCCCATCTAGATACTGACCAGACTCGACTCTGATTAAGAAGAATTGTATCTAATCTGGCAAATGAGCCAAACAATATTTACGTCTGTCTTTGATGTTAATGCCAGGATCTCAAGTGTTAGCTTTCAAACTAAACAAACATTCAAGGAAATATTCCGAATCCATAGTCAGACTGGAACTGAGTCAGTAAAGGATGGTTCCGGTACAAATATATGAGGGTGTCCGTAAAGTTTACATATTTCACTGCTATGAATTATGAGTCAGGCAACTAAAGCAGAAGCAAATTTGACTGGTAGGAAACTGTGTCTAGAATTAGCTTATCATCCCTTATATCCAACAGTGTGGATTTCAGTCTTTAACCCCATGCTGAATTATAACTTTCAAAACAGCATATTCGCCATTGCTTACTCTGTGGTTTCCAAATTGCTACAGAGGCATTTAAAAATATGTATGCAATTTATAGTGCATTTCATTGGGGAAACTTGGTGGAAGGTCGAAGAATAAATCGGCCGAAATTGATTGGTTTCGCTTTCTATCTGTTATCAACCATTAGCTGTTTATTTAAAACCAGAAAATATTTTCACATTGTAAGAGGTTTTTGAGATATGAGATAATAACGCTTTAGTAATACAATTTCTACTAATTAATCCATAGCTGGAGGGAGAAGAGACCTTTCCCAGTGTATACGGGTACGGTGAAGGCTCATATCAGCTGTGGTTGTAAAAGTTTTAAAATGGCAACTGCAATATGCTCAACAAGTCTCGCTCTGGAAGACGGTCCAATCAGAGCGAAGAAGTTTTGAAAAAAAAAACTATTGAAAGTACTAAATGCACTTAATGTGTCAAGAAAACTTAATGTGTTACGTTCAACTGTACAAAGAAGACGTACAAATAGGGAATTTTGGTTCCTCATGAGCTTTCGATTGAGAAGAGCCACTTGACCAGGAATGCCAACCCTTCTTTTTTGCATCGCATTGGTACAAGTGATGAAAAATGGTTTTTGCATGTCAACAGAAAGTTAAAAAAAAAAAAAGACGGTGCTTATCACAAAATGAGAAATCGATCCCAACTCTAAAACCTGAAGTCCCTACTTTGTCTGGTGGAATATGAAAGGTATCGTCCATTACGATCTAATGGAACATAGAAGGACCCTCACTTAACAGAAAAGGAGTTATTTTCCAGTATGACAATGTTATGGGCACACTATACAAAACAAACCCAAGAAAAATTAACCTAGCTAGGATGGGAGATTCTTTCACATCCTATATACTCACCAGATTTAACACCCGTGGATTTTCATTTGTTTCAATCCCTAGTTTATTTTTATAATTGATCTTTCCGTTGGGCTGCAGTCGTTGAAAATTAAGTTAATTACATTTTTGATAAACTTGCATTTCTTATTCTATCCTTTCTGTCAAAACGAAATGACGAAGCAAAAGGCCGTACAAAGAGAAAAACAAACAAATAAGGTTATCTATGTTGCAACCCTAAAAAACCCGGTTAGCTTGGAACTTCAGATGACCAGAACTATTGTTAGAATTCTTTTTTTTAACCTTCTATATGCATATATTGCACCCCAGAATGCTTCTTGCAGATATTGCACCCTAGAAAACTTCTTTCTTGCTTCCTGCTTTTTTTTTTGTTGGAAATACACAACTAACACTAACAAACACTCACACACACTCACTCACTCTCTCTCTCTCTCTCTCTCTCTCTCTCACACACACACACACACACACAACCAGAACTATTGTTAGAATTCTATTCTTGTTCGTTTTATACGCATATATTGCATCCCAGAATGCTTCCTCAGTGATGTCTATTCTGGAGTCATCAAAGGTTCCTGGCCTCCATACTGAAGGTAAAACGAAAGAATTTACCAGAAAGAATAGTATGGTTTAGTATAGTTTGACACAAGGCCACAACTATGGGACATCTAGTAAGGATCTAACTCACAAATCAGTAACAATGGTAAACCAGAATGGCTCGATAACTATTACTACATCCTGAGACGCTCAAGAAAAAAAAAAGTCCGACTCTATTTTCTTTTTCTAAATGAAAACGTTGCCAACTTAAATGTAGCATTGAATTCAGACGAATCACATGGGCATCGGCCATCTTGAAGATTAAATGCTTTTCAGCAAGAAAAATAATTTCATGTATTTTTTTTAATATTGATATTCTGTTTTGTTATTTATTCATTTTGTTGTTGTCAAAAAATACTCAGCTCTTTCACAACCACATCATTTTTGTTAAACCAGTGTTTCTCAACCTTTTTAAGCAACGGCACACCTAGGAGTAAGTGAAAATATCACGGCACACTTAGCAAAACTTTTAAAAGGTATACATTTAAATTTTATGAAATAAAACCATAGATTTTTTTTTAATACACGTACAAATATGAACTTACTTTTATTTAAGTGTTTCTATTCAACTATTTGGGCGGCTTATTTAGCGTGAAACCTATGCCTGATCTTTTTCAGCAATTTCTTCAATATTTGGTCAAATATGCGATAAACAGATCTCCATTTCTTCTTCAGTCGAGCGTAATCTCTCGCCTTTTATTTTTGATGTTATTTAGGGTTGAGAAAACCTAATTCACATAAGTAGAAAATTGCAATATTTTCAAAATAATGTGTTTTAAACAGTTAAACCAGTATTTCTCGACATTTTTATGCAATGACACACCTAGGAGCAAATGAAAATATCACGGCACACTTATCAAAATTTTTAAAGGATATACATTAAACTGCTATGAAATAAAATCATAGATTAAAAAAATACACAAATATGAACTTACTTTATTTCAATGTTTCTAGTCAACTATTTGTGCAGCTTATTTAGTGTGAAACCTCTGCTTGGTGTTTGTTTTTTTGTTTGATTTTTTTTTTGCGGGGGGTGGGGAGCTCGCGATTTCTTCAATGCTTGGTCGAATATGCGACAAGCAGATCCCTCATTTCTTCTTGAGAGTAGTCTTTCTCGCTTCTTATTTTTGATGTTATTTAGGGTTGAGAAGCCTAATTCACATAAATAAGAAGTAGAAAATTGAAATAAAATTGATAAAGCCTTTTTAGCTAATGTGGGATATTCCTTTTGTATTGAAATCCAAAATTGTCACACTGGGTACTGTCGAATGCTTTATTTTGAGCTCTCGAGCTCTAGAAATAGCAGCCATTTCTTCTTCTTCTTCACAAAACTGAAGTCCAATATTAGAAGGAAGATTTATGAAGGGATTTCGAATCCAAACATACTTATTTTCACGAGTGAACCGCTGTATAGTGTTTACTGCGCATGCGTGTGTGCGCACGCTCGTGTTCATATAGCTATTTACTATATATAGCTTAATCTGGTACAGGCTTAAATACGACTAGCACCCAGTGAGGACTAAAATTCAGTATACTAGTAATTGGTAATGCGGTTAACGAGGGGCTCTGTATTCAAGCTCCACTCGGTAATTGAGAACAAATATTAGCATAAAGGCAAAAATAAAAACAATAGTAAATCAGTATACTTAAAAAATTGTACATTATCTGTCTATATCTCTGAGATGAGGTATTATGATTACTTGAATTATTTACATTATTCGGACTGTTACCCTCATCTTCATTGACATATTCACAACGTTTCGTCCTCTATATATCTGAGATGAGGTATGATGATTACTTGCATTATTTACATTATTCGGACTGTTATCCTCATCTTCATTGCAAAATTTCACAACGTTTCGGCCTCTATATCTCCGAGATGAGGTATTATGACTGCTTGCGTTATTTACATTATTCGGACTGTTATCCTCATCTTCATTGCCATATTCACAACGTTTCGGCCTCTATATCTCTGAGATGAGGTATTATGAACCCTTTATTTCGTTCATCAGGTTAGATTGTTCTAGTTCCACGTGCCATGCTTCTTCCGAATGTCTCGGTTACTTCCCTTTAACTCAACCCTCTAAGTTTTTGTTCACCGCTGCTGTGGCCTGGTACTGAATTCACAACTCTTTGGGTCTAGTCACTGGATCTAACCAACGTCTTTATCCACTAGACCATGTGGACGAAATAAATGGTTCGGTTCAAAATTCCAATCACTTGAAGAAGGCCGGAGAATACAACGGCCGAAACGTTGGGAATATGGTAATGAAGATGAGGATAACATATATATTGAAACTTTTATAAAATTTTCGTTAATAGCGACTGACAAATTACTGCAGTTACTTTCTTTGTTGGCTGCAGGATCATGTAATTTAATAATTGCGAATTTCATTTAAAACGATATATATATATATATTTATATATATATAAACTGTATGTCTTTTATTACATTGAAATGTCATAGGTCGCGTATACGTGCCATACATCGTTTTCATTATCTTATTCTAAGAGAGCGTGTTTTCCTTCAAATGTTTTGTCACCAATCTGTTTCGCAATAAATCAAAATGAAGGAAGGAAGACAAAAAGTGAGCTGAAATTGGTGGGTCTCACGTAAGATGAGCGCATGCGCCCCAATGGGCAAAAGTGATTTGTCAGAGATTTCGAAATGCGGAAAACGAGATGATGAGTTTCAATCTCAATAATCGATATTTTTCAGTTCAAGAAGGATATATATGTTTGGAATAAACATGTCTCCTCATTTATAGGTATCTTTTATTCTTTGCGCGCAAATAGATCCGTGTTCTGAGTCGGCGTATACTTGAGAAAATGAGAAAAGCAAACAGTATTTGAGCTAAAAGATAGACACTGAGATAGAGATAGATAGATAGATAGATAGATAGATAGAT